GAACCCAAAGAAGCAAGACACATCATAATTAAAATGCCAAAGGTTAAAGACAAAGAGAGAATCTTAAAAGCAACAAGAGAAAAGCAGTTAGTTACCTACAAGGGAGCACTCATATGACTGTCAGCTGATTTCTCAATAGAAACTTTGTGGGCCAGAAGGGAGTGGCAAGAAATAGTCAAAGTGATGAAAAACATGAAACTACAACCAAGATTACCCAGCAAAGCTATCATTTAGAACTAAAGGTCAGATAAAGAGCTTCATAGATAAGAAACAGCTGAAGGAGTTCATCACCACCAAACCAGTATTAAATGAAATGTTGAAGGGTGCTCTTTAAGAAGCAGCTAATGAACAAAAGACTCTGACAAACAAAACAGACCCAGAGACAATGAAGCATGCAACCGATGGTTGTACCTCGGAGGGAAGAGGGAAGGGGGGTGGAGGGTGGAAAGAAATTACCCAAAGAAGTTATTTGCATATATGTATAACCCATGGACACAGACAATAATAGGGTGAAGTCCTGGGGAGGGGGTGGGAGCAAGGTGGAGTGGGTCAATTGGAGGAAAAAAATGGGACACCTGTAATACTTTCAACAATAAAGATACATTAAAAAAAAAAAAAGTCATAGGGTAGCTGAATGAATAAGAAGATTAGACCCAAATATATGCTTTCTACAAGAGACCCACCTCAGAACAAAAGACACACAGGCTGAATAAACACACACAAAGCAAACTTCTGAAGGACTTTAATGGAGAGATCAACAGCAATGCAGTCAGAGTAGGGGATTTTACCCTCACTCCCCCGACATTACTGGATAGATCTTCCAGACAAAAAATCAACAAGGAAACAGTATTAATTCCCAGAACCTCAGAATGTGACCTAATTTAGAAATAGGATCCTTGTAGGTGTGATTAACTAAGTTGAGATGAAGTTATACTGGAGTAGGATGGGCCCTTATTCAACGTGACTGGTGTCCTTATAAAAAGAGGGAAATTTGGGCACAAACAGGGAAAAGGCTGTGTGAGAATGGGGTGGACATTGGTGTTTTGCTGCCACAAGCCAAAGAATGTCTGGGGNTTCTGAAAAATCAATGCCTGAACCATAGTCAAACAATGGAAACTCCAAAATATTGGTCCTTTCACTACAGAAAAATGAAATCTCAAGTTAATAAGCAAGTGTGAAAAAAAACGTATACCATTTATTGAGTCTCTACTATAAGCCAGACACTATACTAAATGCTTACATATTAATCCTAACAATCCTGATGGGGACTATTGTTAGCTATCCTTTTTACGATGATGAAAATTAGGTTTCAGGGCAAGAAATCTACCAAATATCACACACCTAGTATGTAGTTTAACATGGATTTAGAAGAGAAACACGGAAATTAAAAGCTGGGAGGTGGAGATGAAAGGCTGAAGGAAATAGAGGTCCGCTTTTCAGCACATCACTTTTAACACTAAAAAACTGTCTATATAATAATGAAGTGGTACGAATCATGTTGCATGACAGCATACCATACATACTTTTACACTCCAATTTTGTTATGCATTTATCTTTGAGTAGCTTAGCAGTCATTTAAATTCTTCTGTTCTCTTTTCTTAATATTCACCAATATGTGCCGCTTTTACAATATTTCTCAATCCTGACTCTAGCCACACATCTGCCCATCTTTCTTCACAACCAAATTTAATACTGCATGCTTGCTGTCTCCAGAGCCTCTTGTCCTGTGCCTTCAATCGACTATTCTCTTACAAAAATACTCAACTGCTTAGAAAAATCAGTAGGCAACCCCTTATTGCCAGAATCAATAGCCATTTCTTGTTTTAATCCAATTTAACCTCTGTACTGTGCACGGTGTTTGTGACCGTCGTGACGCTTCCCATGGTCTGAGTCCCCTCTTCCTCTACCAGTTCCTTAAGTGTGGCTGTTTTCCAGGGTTGAGGTTAGCTCAATCATGCCCAGGGAGTATTTTAACACCCTGAACCTGAATGAATTTAAGGTGCATTTTTCTAAGATCTGTGATCCAAAAAAATTAGGAATCACTGGTAAAGATTAAATTCTAAACTCCTTTGCAATTTGACAGCTCCTCCTCCAAAACTTTTGACACTCCATCTCTCAAAAATTCCCTGGTACCTCTACTCCTCCCTTTTTAAGTAACAAACCACACTACCTTTGCTAATGCCACTTCCTCTGCCTAAGTTTCCAAAGCTTCTCCATGCAGAATTCTCCATTTCTAGATTACTTTGTACCAGCTGGTAGTATAAATTTATAATACATTTGATATGCAAATCTACCTGAACAGGGGATGGGGCCAAATCAATGTATCTTGATACATTGATACTAAATAAAGGTGGTTTCACTAAAATACCTTGTTTCCAAGATATCAACCAATTTATTTTGTGTTCATTATCACTCACCCTGGCTGGTGTGGCTCTGTCGGAGCACCATGCCATGCACCAAAGGGTCATAGGTTTGAGTCCCAGTCAGGGCACATACCCAGGTTATGGGTTTGAGCCCCCATCGAGGCAAACAATGTTTCTCATACCAATGTTTCTCTTCCTCTCTAAAAAAAAACTATCAAAAAAAAAAAAAATCCTCAGGTGAGGATAAAAAGAAACTTACCACTCATTCACAGCAAAAAGTTTTTATACATATTTTTTATTGATTTGAGAGGGAGAAGCGAGAGGGAGAGAGAGATAGAAACGTCAATGATGAGTCATTGATCGGCTGCCTCCTGCACACCCCCTGCTGGGGATCGAGACTGCAGCAGGGGCATGTGCCCTGACCAGGAATCGAACCACTATCTCCTGGATCCTAGGTCGATGCTCAACTGCTGAGCCACGCCAGCCAGGCAACGGCAAAAAGTTTTAAACTACTTAGTGAAACAAATAGTTCTTTTGCCTTGAAGACAATTTTTACTAAGTTATTATCATTAAGCTGAAAACCAAATTATCTAACTGGTAGCATGAACATGTCAACTTATATATTTTAAAACCAAATGTTATTAAATAACCTCAAATTTCAAACATTATTGAATACAGTAAAATTTTTAAAACAAAAATTTGGAGATCATGAGCAGTCAGCATTAGGACCTGAACTACAACAAAGATGCTAAGGGGACGCTTGCTCTATTTAAATAATTCTAACCCAGCATGTTTATCAGTCACTTGAGAAGCTGTTACACAATACATATATACTCCCCATCCCTGGAGGTTTAGCAGGTCAAGGATGACGCTAGGCCTGTGGACATTTTTAAAGGCTCCCAGCATTTTCTGAATACTGCCTGAGAACTATTTCCCATGAAATATGTTTGATATGCCTTCGGTTTATATGTACGTTTAATATTTAAGGAATTTCACTATTTGAAATATCTCAAGTATCTCACTATTTTGCCCAGTTACTTACAGAGAACCTGACTTTTTGCAATACATTTACTCCTTTAAGCTTTAAATGCTTTTTGGTGAATTCATTTTTTTTATAAAGTCCTTAACTCTCAATCTACAGAAAATAAAATTTTCTTAAGCGATATTTTCTTTAAATTAAGGTATAGAGTACAGACACCTAGTCTACTAGATGAGTATGTTCTAATAGAAATTATGTCTATGTAAATATACTGAATATACATTAACTCCAACTTAAGAAAAATAAAGCAATTAACAAAAATAACAAATATACAGGGATGAGCAAAAGGAGGCTTACAGTTGTGAGTACCCAAGTTTATTCTTGAACTTATCAATTATTGTATTATTTATCATATGAACTGTAAACCTACTTTTGCCCATCCCTGTAGCTACAATAAATATTGCACTAACACGTAATAGATTTTATAACTAGAAAAACAGTGATTTCAGGGTAACTCTTCAAATGTTGTTTGCAGAGTATACTTAACATTTTTTTAATACAAAAATAGAAATTTTTGAAAATCACCCGCACTAAGGATGAATAATGCTTTCTTCTACAGGTAAAGATCCACGTTTCACTGGTATATTTCTAGTGAGCACTCAAAAAAATACAAAAACTTATTTAAATAATTTTCAAGACTACTAAAGACTTACTTTTGTCACTGCATTCATGCTCTAAGAACTGATAAAATATGCTTGAAAACTCATGGATCAAAAATGCTCTATAAACCTTCTGTAAAATTTCAATATTATTTTAAAACATCTTTACTATCACCAAAGTTTTTTAATCTCCTGGCTTAATGGCTATTTTGCTTAGTGAGCAACCTCTTAACATAATCCTCTTCACACATCCTAAATAAAATTTTTAAAAAATTATCTAAAGGAGTTTGAAGATTCAAATTCTAATCCTTGTAACTTCGAAATGTACATTCCATTAATTTCTATAATTCCAAGTCCAGCACAAGCTTAAGTTTCGTTCAGAAAATATTTGTGTTTGTATGTATATCTAGAGTTGTCCTATGCACTCAAAGATATGGACTATGTCAGATTGAGCCTGGAAAACAGACAATAGAAATCTTTACCCCCACTGTACATATGTAGAGAACTGGATTTTTAATTTAAAAATGTCTAAGATGCAGTCATGTTAATATTAAATTTTTCCTTCCTCCTACTGTGCCTTTATCACAGAAATACACAAATTCAAAACATAATCTTTTCAAGTAACTCTTGCTATCATTACCAAAGCTTATCTTTTTCAAAAATCTTCATGTAAATTCAAGTTTTTGATAAGTCAAAATATTCTGTGCACTGCTTTAACAAGGAGAACATAAACAAGGTTTCCAAAATGGGATTGATAAAATTGTTATTATTCAATGTGGGCAGAGTTAAAAGTTGTTTTTTCAAGTTTTATTTAATAAGCTTATTCTTAGGTAAAAATTTAGTTACCCACTGGTACCTCTATTCTTCCCTTTTAAGCAAATAGACCTGTTTAAAGAACATTTCGGTGTCTGAAATCAACACTAGGCAAGTAAAAGGCTAAGTTGGAGAGAAACCAGATTTCCTTACCCTGTATTTTAAATGCACAGGAATACAACAAACTCAAAAGAAAAAAAAATAGTGTTTTATTAACTACCACACTGTTATAATACACTTTAAACGTACAATAAGGTAGCCTTTAAATTTGAGGTGGTCTTAAGAATAACAAATGAACAGAATTCCAAATTTTTGAAATAGGTGAACTGCTGCAGTTATTGGTATACATTTAGGAAAATTGTATAGCTCTTACAAGACCAGCAATGAAACTTTATTTTGTACATTTTTTTAATAATTGAAAATATAAACAATAATTAAAAAATAAAAGAAAATACAGCGTAATAAAAAACATACATTTCTCAATTAAATGTACTGAATACATATAAATTTTAAGGGAAGAAGCAAAAAAAGAAATTGGTTGATATTTAAGTGCAGACTGACTACCTAGACAAAAAAAAAAAAAACTTAAAAAAATATCATAAAACCACTAGTTTTCTATGACTAGTATCCATATGGTTGGAGTATCGTCACTATGGAAGTGATTTTGTTATGTTTGCATATGTTATACTTTACTGGTAATTTACATGATGGCTTTTAAGGCCCTGGCAGACATATGGTTTTTGGAAACAGGATTGGATAAAAAAGTCACTGCTAAGACGCAATACACCTTATTTTTTTGGTCCTCCAATACGCAAGAAAAGGGATATCTCACTATAACATTTGTTTACCACCCAAATGCCTCAACCTATACATTTTAAATTTTTTAAACATTGGTTATATTGCCCAACTTCATTATTGAAAGAATATTAACAAGACATTATTTTGGCAAATTAAATCTTAAACATGGCTTTTCAACAGGATTTAAAAGGTGACTATCCCTAGAGTTCCATGTTAAAATGTAGTTTTCAAAATCTTACAAGAGTAATGCTTAAAATATTGTACATAGTTAACCTAATTAAAATAATTAGCTTCAAAATGACAAATTGATAAGCTAAGTAAAGCCTACGCTATGTAACATTTGCTTGGAAACTTGATTTGTCAGTTATGCATAATAAAAATTCCAGTCATCAAGAAAATTACAAAAATTTTTTTATCATAACATGATTTCTTTCACCCACCAACTTTTTTTATCTTACAATAGATAAATACCAACATGTTCTCATTTTTACACTAAACCACACAGGATTGATGCATTTGGTTAGACTACCATTCGCATTGTTAAATTCAATTTTCTTTATATAACTTGGTAAAATTTCATTTCTTCTAGATTCCAAAAGTACCTACAAAACCCATGCAATTTTACCATTTTTAATATACTATGGAATATCATACAAAGTAAGGCATTTCAGTGTCATGTATAACCAAGTTACTGTCAATCCAAAAATTTTTGCACATCAATAAAAAGATATCTAAGAACTTAGGAACAATATTCTTCTCACTACTGTATAAAAATAACCACAATGAATAAGTATTTGTGTAATATTTACTCCATTGTCTCATTTCCAGAAACTGTGACAAGCTGTAAAGGTATTTCAGTGTTGGTAAGGATATCTTGATTGCTGGTGGTGGAAGTATTAACAGTTCCTATCCCTGAAACAGAACCTTGTTGAATATTTGCAAGGATAAGTGTTGTTCCTCCTGCAGTAATCAAAGTATCATCTCGTGCAGCTTCCACAGATGCCAGCACTGTACTGCTAGAGTGAATACCTTTTTTATTCTGATGTGTTTTAATATGTTTGGCAAGATGATCACTTCTCATAAAACGTTTTGAACATTCTGGACAAACAAATTTCTTCTCACCTGTTAGAAATAAAATTAAGTTACTTAGTTTTCAAAAGTCAGCAACAAACTGTTAATTCCCTGAGAAAGAAAATAAGCCAACATTGACAGGTAAGGACAGGGAACAGAGTTCAGTTAAAATTTTATTAGTTTCATGAACTGCCTCTGCAAATTTCTCTCAGAGAGTATGTCCCCTCAAAATAAACGTCTTTACTTTCTGATGAAAAGCAATCTTCAAACGTATATTACAGACAATCATTCAGATATTATTTTCATATCTTAACTGCTAAGTTTGTTTTAAAACATGTTACAAGGTATCAGCTAAAAAATGACCATCTGTAACATACAGGAGGTCCTCTAATAAAACTGTTTTGTTCAACTTTTTTTTTATAACTATGAGAAGAAAATAAAATTGACTTCTAGCAGAGCCACTATGTGGAGTTTGCAAATTCTCCCCATGTGTGGTGTGGATTTTCTCCAGGTACTCTGGGTCCCTCCCACATCCCAAAACTGTGCACGTGAGCTGAGCTGGCTTGTCTCCAGTGTCTCAGTCTGAGTGAGCGGCAGGTGTAGGTGTGAGTGCACCCTGCGATGGAAGGGAGTCTTCCCAAGGCTGGTTCCTGTCTTGCACACCCAGAGATGCTGAGAGGCTCTGGCCACCCACAACCCTGAACCTGGGATAAGCAGGTTGGAAAATCCTCTGTTTTTATTCATCATTCATATTCATACATATATGTATATTTCACAAGTATTTCAATGTTTAATATTACAAGTGTAGAAGTGTTTTGGGTCTTTATTTAGAAGTGTAGTGAAGTTTTTGTGACCAGAAATATGCCACAGGAACTTAACTCTTGTTTATATCAATTAGCTATGGTAAAAGTGTTTTTGTTATATACATCATTTCACCTAAAAGTCTGTTTCTAAGAACCTACCAACAACATTAAGTGAGGACTCATTGTATTCCTTTAAAGGAAAGTATACAGCTTTAAACTATATTTAAGGTATTACTACTAGTATGTTGTATCTATGATGGTAAACTTCCAACTCTTAAATCTGAATTCAAGTAACTACACAGAGTACTCCTAGATTAAAGCAAAGATGCAATCTTGAGGTCCACTAAGATTGAGTAATCCCAAAAGATGGTGAGCTGACTTGATTTCATCTGAAATAATTAAGAGCAAGCTTAACATATTATAATGTTAAAATTAATAAGACCTTGATACCTAAATATATCTCCCAACATGAATAAAATATTTTTTATACAAAAGACAGACTAAATTCTATTATGTTGAAGACCTACTATGTAAGAGGATTAGAAGAGAAGGCAAAAGGCCAGCCTAAAAGGAATCCAGAGAAATCCACCAACAAATCTAGTATTTTCTTCAATATGCCTTATCTATCTCGTTCCAGCACTTCTGCTCTAGGCAGGTCCTCATCAGATCTCAAGTTTGAATCATAGTGCAATGACACCCTTGTCTTTCCCTCTCTAACCTAAGAAATTAATGCCAGACAAATCTTCCTTAAATACCAAATTTTATTACAGTACAAAACTTCACTAAGTAGTATGGGAATGCAAGACTAACTTGCAGATAACCAAGATTATGACTCAATCCTACTTAACAAAAATGAGTTACATAAAAATCTCATCTTCACTCATGTCAAATGATCTCTCACCTCTTTTATTCACATACTATTCTTCTGAGAAGGTTATTTCCTAAAGTATCTCTTGGAACATTAGTCCTGAGATATGCTCCACAGCAAATGTCACAATGATCAAAGATAGTTCGGAAATGCTACACACACTACACATACCCCACCCCCCCAGATGCACGGTGCTTGTCAACATTCAATTAAAGGTCCTAAGAGGGCACATGTAGTAACCCTCTTTAACTGAGTGTTTCCCACACATTTGATCATAGACCTTTTTTACCCTTTTACGTTGCTTTTTATATCCTGATCAAATTCCATTCAGGTAAAGTGTGTTATAGGGCCATCTTAAGATCTACTATCCCAGCCCACTGCCCAACAATGCCTTACTATCTCAAGCAATAATGATCTCTGCCTCTGAGCATACTTTCGTATATTGTTTGTTGCAGTTACAAACAGCTCATCTGTATACCTACCTACCTGATGAGTGAGACAGAAACTAAAACAAGTAGAGCATCTAATATGTATACTATTAAATACTTCATGGGTTACTTTATGTAACATTTAAAGCAATACAAGATGTATGAAAGCAGGTCAGAGATAGCTTAGTTGTTTTATCTAACAGAGTTCATGGGTTTGAAATGTCCTCCATTTCACCATGCTTCTTCCTTCTAAGCTCTCTAGGGACTGTAAATGAATTACATATTTTTCAATTCTTCAGTGTTGAGCACAGACTGATGAACACCTTGATCATTACATGCTAGCAGGAGAAAATGATCTCTAAGCTATAGTAAATTAGGATTCAGTTTGGGTCATTCCTAGGTCCACTTCATGTAAGAACCACACACTATATAAAAACAATTAAATGGAAGAATCTTAACATCAACAATGCCTTGGTTATTCCTCAATGAACTGTCTTTTGCTTACCTCACAGATATTAAAACAAGAGAAAAGGTGAAATGCCTAAATTCATCAAAGGAAAGGGGATTATTTTTTATTAAAGTGTTAAGGAGGAGGATGGAAGAAGACAGATCAAGAGTAAAAGCAGACAATAATTTAAAACATTCAACATAAACAATAATAGCATAAATGTGGCTTAAGACAGTCAATAATGTCAAAACAAAACAAAAACTAAAAAAGAAAAAAGCTAACCAAAGTCTGCATAAAATAAAATGTTATTTTGCAATACAAGTCATACTGGCTTGTTTGGAATTAGTGTTTTTTAATCGGTGTTAATGAAGACAAAAAATTTGATGAGATTGGTCACATTTTTAAAATTCATCTCAGTAAGGTATTCTAAAAAACAAACAAATCAAAACAAAAACTTTTAAGGTAGTAGGTAGTCCTGTAATTCACTTTTGTCTGTTAAAAGTAAATATTAGTAACCTGTATGTGTTCTTCTGTGCCTCTGTAATTCATCACTTCGAGTAAATCTTTTACCACAGAACATCCAGTTACAAACAAAAGGGCGCTCCCCAGAATGCCAACGCAGATGAGCTCTCAGATGTGAGGTCTTCCCATAGACTTTACCACATCCTGGTATATGACATATGTGTTGCTTCTTTTTCCCAAGATTGGTACCTCTAAAAAACACACACAGAATAATATATGCTTATATGAAAATATTCAAATGGGCATTACCACTTATATATCCCCATGTTGAATTTCAAATAGAAGACATTATCACCATGAGATAAGAAACCACGACCAATTAAAATCAATGTAAATAAAAACTTGTATGTCTCAAACATGTAAGTTTTACACATTAATTTTACTCAAGAATTAATGTGCCCAGCTGGTGTGGCTCACTGGTTGAGCACTGACCTATGAACCAGGAGATCATGGTTTGATTCCTGGTCAGGGCACATGCCCAGGTTGTGGGCTCGATCCCCAGTAGGGGGCATGCAGGAGGCAGCTGATCAATGATTCTCTCATCATTGCTGTTTCTCTCTCCCCCTCTCCCTTCCTCTCTCTGAAATAAAAATATTATAAAAAAAAAAAAGTTAATGCAACTGCTGTCCAAATGAAAGTATATTCAAGTATTATATAATTTAAAGGGACATTTCACATATAAAAAATACGTAATAAAGCTATTTATTATTCTGTCAGAACCATTCACAAATTCTATGCATAGGCCTAATCCCAACTTAGCTGTATGGGAAACTAAGTGGTCTACTCAAAGTCATGCTGTCAGCTAATTTAAAAAGGAAATAAACCAAGCATGAATGCATAACTAATCACAGGTACAATTAAAAGGTAGATAGGCACCTTAAGAAGATTTTCATTAACATGATTTACGCATATTTATTTATATATTCGCATGGCCACATCCTGAATATACACTGGAGAAAGTTAAAAAAAAATCTGGACAAAGCCTTGTCTTAGCTCTCTTAGGACTACATGAAATAAATATAAATAAAAATTATCTTTACAGTTAAAATTCCCTTCAAATTAACCATGCAAAGAATACTCAAAATTATACATCAGCAATATAATAAAATACAGTTTTCCACATCGCAAAATTTGACATTTGTTATATTTCAGTATTGATACCAAGAACAGGGCTTGGGAGATATATGCTTAGATGGATGAACAGAGGTATCTTATCCTAAGCAAGAAGAAAATCTTTTTGATTCCATAGCTGGTATTCAAATAATATTAAACACTACTCACGCTTTAAAAAGAAATTAGGCTAGTTACTGAATAAAAATGAGTTTATAAAAAAAACATTTTAGACTCACAACTGTCAAAATCATATTATATAAATTTTGCAATGTTTCTCTGAGATTAACAAAGGTACATTTAAGAACCCCCCAACTTCCCCTCCTCCCCCAATCTCAGTCTAAGCTAGAGCCTATAAAACTTCTATAAGCCTGAAAATCCTCCTGTATATAATATACCTATCATTTTTCAAATTTTACTGGAAAAATGCGTATTTCCCCACATTTATATTTTAATGTACTCACACTCAGTAGCATGTGAAATTGCCATAGGACAAACAGTGCTAAACGGTGCAGTGCTGGCTGTTAGATGCCATAGGTGTTCTGAACAGGGAGACATCAATGTGGGCTCCAGTAGTTAGAGAAGGCTTCGTGGAGGAGGTGGGTAGGATTTAGATAGAAAGGAGGGAAGGCATTCCAGGCAGAGGAATAGCATAAGTAAAGACAAGGAGGAGTCATGCTGTTGTCTCAAGGGCAAGGATGTCATAATCTAACACAATTCTAGTTTCTGCTCCAGTCCACCCCCAATTTCTGCAACTCTTTTCAAAGAGCTGAGTTGAGTGAAACAGATTTTTCTGGCTCACCTATAATGCCAAAGTCTTAACCAAAGCCAATGTGGTTTCCATTTAATTTAGCTTTTTAAATTTATTCTTAAATAGCCCTAAGAAAAAGAGCATTGCTTGTGGCTACTGGTGTACAAACCAATTTTACATTTTGTGTTCACCATAGCAATTTCACAGAGAACCCAATTTGGTTCACTGTTATACTCATGACTTCTTACCTCTCTTCTAAGCCTACCACTCAGGTGAATGAATCAATGTGCTTTTATAAACTCAAAAGTGCTATTTTACTAACTTAGCAAAATTTAGCTTGAAAACACTAACAAAAGCACAAGATTGTAACATATTACAGCAACAAATCTGGGTTCTCAAAGAACCAAGAAACCAGGGAAAGATAAAGATATTCCTCATTATTAAAGATACTAAAGTTATTCTTCATTATAAGGAAATAAGAAACATTCATTGTTTGGAAATGGGACAGGTATCTAAGAAAGAAAATAAAAACAGATGGGCACACATAAATATATAATTTAAGGGAAAAGCTCAAAACCCAGGTTCAAGTTTTCATTTAAAAAGGAAATTTTATTCCAGAGAAGATCTAAATATGCTAGATAATGGATTTATGGTGTGTGATGTTAAAGGAAGGAAAAGAACTGAAGTAAATTTCTCAACAAACTTCAGGTAACAAAAGATTTAGCCATAAGTTTTCTTCATAATCATTCCTCTAATACTCATTATATAACCTGAAAAAGGAACAATTTTAAGTTTCTACTATTCTTGAGTGCCTAAGCGTGCTCCAAATAATTTAATCATGCCAAGATAAGAGTGACAGAATAAATAAAGGTAGAGGGATTAAGAAAAACTAAATAAATCAAGTCTTTCTTTTGATTGGGATAGGATAAACAGGACACAAACTGACACACTGACAAAGAAAACAGATTTTGCAAAATAATTTTTTAAAATATGGATTGATGTTTAATCTACACAAAACCTACGTAACAGTAATACCTTTAGAATCTATTTCACTTTATAAAAATTATTTGTCTCTTCCACTTGAGTAAAAAATTTCTGGCCTGGCCAGGCGTGGCTCAGCGGTTGAGCATCAACCTAGAATCCAGGCAATCAGGGTTTGATTCCCGGTCAGGGCACATGCCCGGGTTGCAGGCTCCATACCCAGTCGGGGGCATGCAGGAGGCAGCCAATCAATGACTCTCTCATCATTGGTGTTTCTTTCTCTCTATCCCTCTCCTTTCCTCTCTCTGTAATCAATAAAGATATATTTAAAACAAAAAAATTTTCTGAAGGCTGGTTCTGCTTAACAAATATTGGCTAAATGGCCAAATGAATACTATTTTTTATATTTAATTATATTTTACATCTTGCTCAAAAGGGTAAACAAATGAAATTTAGTTCTCTAAATTAATGCCAACTTACACATATATTTTTTTAAAAGAATATGAGAAAAAAGACTAATAATCTAAATTTTTTTTTTTAAGTACCACCTTTACAGAACATTTTGGACTATTGGGGATTTACTATATATGTTATGCTTTTATTAGACATAGCAATTGTCAATGATACAACTGTGCCTGCCATATATACTGAATTTTGTTCAAATGAGTTGTAAGAAACAATACGTTTGTCTTAAGAACATCAATTTTGAATTGCTTAGAATAAGTTATTTTAAAATGAACTCACAAAACTTCTAGAAAAAATATAGTTTTATAATCCTCAGGATTGAAAAGATTTTTAAAAGCAGGATAACAACAAGGCATCTCATAAAAACTGATCAACTAAAAATTTGGGGCTTAAAAATGTTTGCAAACTTTAAGTGATGAAACTCATCTTTACTTGTATAACAATGCAGTTTGCAAACCACTGACATAAAGTTGAAAAGCAATGTAAAACCAGAAAAAATATGTGTATGACAGAGTTAAACACACAAATTAACAGATTCACAAAAGACATAAACAATTCACAAAATAAATTTTAAAATGGTAAAATAAACATACCAAAAAATGTTCAATCTCACAAATAAAAAATATACTAAATAAAACAATATTGAGGTACTACTTTTTATCTGTCAGACTTTAAAAGGTTTGAAAAAAATGACAAAATCCATTATTGGCATGGGTATAGAAAAGCAAATACTCTCATGCACCACTGATGGAATAAATTGATACAGGCTTTCTAACAGACAATTCCCTTTGATCCAAGAATTCCACTTCTGCCAACTTACACTGATGAAATAATCAGACAAATGTGCAAAGATGAGTGGGTTAGAACGACAATAAACTCCCAAAAAAGATGTTAAATTCTTATGTATTCATACAATATACTATACAGCCATAAAAAAGTTGATACAAACTATGGAGACTCGGAAATGTGGTCACAAAAATTTTCAGAATGAGAACAGACATGTAAAGCAGTGAGAATAAAATGACTGTACTTTAAAATATACGTCAAGTCTGAAAGAATATACATAAAAATGTCACAATGGTTATCTTGAAGTGGGATAGGATTTTGGAATTCTTTTATACTATTCTATACTTGAGTTTTTATGAGCATGTATTAGTTTAATAAACATATATTTTAAAGATTTTCATTTTAAAGAATAAGTAAAACAAGCCAGACCTTGATCCTCAATTAGATTTGACTTTCATAAACAATTATCTTGAAAGATCCTCAAAAAACAAGTTGATTTCAAAAATTACTGCCTAAATAGAATTCCATTTACTTATTTATTCACCAAACTATTTCAAATAAATAAAATTTCAAACAACTGAATAATTACCAGTAAATACAAACATCTAAGCATCAGATGCAGAAGCAAATCCACTTAAGAGGCATTAGTGATAAAGTTCTGGAGTAAGAAACTGGGACCAGATACCTGTCCTATGTGCTCATATGAGTCACTCGCCTCTATATGCCTCACTTGGAAGACTATCTAGGAACACAGTAAGCTCTCAATGTTATAAGTTATTATCATTACTGTCATTGCTAACTGGCTGATCAATGTGCAAATCAGCTAATAAGATCAACTCAAAGGCAAAGTCTCTATTATATCAAACTCATTAACTGTATCAATAGCATTTTTGTCTATTTAAACAGTGCATTTCAGAGAGAGGTATGGTTAAGGCCTTTTGCTATGACTGAAGATTTAGCTAGTATGTCTTTACAGTTCTCAGTTTTTGCTCTATATATTTCAAAGATGTGGGGGAAAGATAGCATGACTACTAAATCTTCTTGGTGAAAATTTCGTAGTATTAAGGAATATACCCCTATCTACCCATTTGATGATATTTACCTTAACCCTACCTTGCCTGATATTAACATTGCTATACAAGTTCTCTTTGTTAGCATTTGCCTAATCAATCTTTTTCCATCCTCTTAGCTTCAATATTCCTGTACCAATTTATTTGAGGTGTTTCGTCTAATCAAAATAAAGCTGGATTTTATGTTCTTTAAAAATGATCTGAGTCTCCATCCCTTAATTATTAAGCTTAATCCATCCACATTAAATTACTGATCTGTTTTGAGTTTATTCCTGTCATGTTATTCTGTCTTAATGTTTATTTTTAAAAACACTAAATTGAAATATTACAGTTCTACTTTTTTAAAAATTCCATCATTAAGGCTTATTATTCATTTCTGTTGAAAATGAAAATGCTTATGGTTATCAACTATTTCTGAACTTGTGTTTATACAACTGCTATTCTCAAGCTAAGAATCATCTTTCTATCTGTATTTAGGCAAATCCTACTGCCAATTTGCAAACAGGCTCATTTCTGAAATGGGCCTGTTAAATGGCATCTGTTACACTGTTGTTTTTAAAAAAAAAAAAAAAAGAAAATAGCCAACCAAGTAATTTAATTTTAAAAAGTGTTTAGATTTTAAAGTTTTAATTTCATATATTTTGTTCTTAACTTTTTCTGCCACACTCATACATACATACACACAAAATGATCATGTAATGAATAATATCCCATAATTAAGTGATATGGCATGCAGTATTTCAAAAATTAGGGTGATGATATAAGCAGTCTTTAAAAAGAAATGTTTCATGTGTGCATACCTCCCACCACCTTCTTTACAGTTGGGACAGGTGCAAGCTACCCTCCGAAGTCTTTTTCCTTCTTGATGTTGTTGGTCCCCTTCTTCATCTACCACCTGTACTCTTAAATGTGTTAGATCATTGGTATTCAATGTAGAATCACCACTGAGCTGCCACTCTTCAGGATCAGGTTCTTCTTCCTTGATCCTAATATCTAAAGAAGAAAACAAATACAGATGAGAAGCAGCCCACTGGCCCAAAAAAATAGCATGAAATCTGAGCCACACTACGGTAAAAGTGATACTACGTAAAAATCAAAAAGCATCTGTCTATGGAGCATAATTACTGCTCCTTGTTGTGGCTTATTCTTTCAAAACAATCTCTTTTATTCTAAATATCAAAGATTAAGCCAAAGGGGGAATAAAGCCAGAATGAGCATGCTTTTTAAAAAGGCTCATTAAGAAAAACAAGTGATTTTTTTTAGCAAGCTCAGTCATAAACAATCTGAAAATTCAATAATTGTTCAAATAGGCAAAAAACCCAATGGCCAATTTAGATTGGAACAAATTTTAAACCTTAAACCTCTCTTTCACAAACTGTATCAATTATGCCTAGTCTGTAGGTACTATGTGAATGCAAAAACAAACCACCAAAAACCAAAAAACAACAAAAAGCAATGACAACAAAAAAAGGTAGCATTCACTTGAAACTGTTACACACTTAAGCTTTAAACTCAATCATTACTAAAATATCTAGAATGGCCATAACATCACTGTGGAAGGAGGTACAGAAGTATGAGAAAGAGTTTCTATTTTCAAGGAGTTTTATTATAAACCAGACTGGGAAACAAAATGACAATGGTGAAAAAGAGTGAATATGGTAGGAAATTATGTCATTTTCTCAGAAGAGGTAAACATCTTTATTTATATTGATAATGATACATCATTTTCCACTAGAAACTAAGAGTTTTTAATCTTAGAAAACTGACTTTTTAAAAGAAACAATACATAATTTACAACAAACACTGAACATAACCATTTTTAGTAAAACAAATTCCTACAAAATTTTGTCTTGATTTATGCAAACTAAAAATCTTAATGAAAATTTATAATTTTATATCTATGTTAGTCACTAATAATTGGGCAAAAATAGCTTAAAATATTAAATGTACCCCGACACTACTGAATTTACACTAATGAAAACTAAAATGTATAACCAACAATCAAGAAAAATGGCTCAAATAGTTTAAAACTAGTTTATTTTATCAGAATAACCACAATCAAGAATCAGGAGGAAATATGGGAAAAGAAGGGACTCCGGCCTGAGCAACAAAGCATACGATAGTGTCAATCACTGACTTTGGAAACAATGGAGAAGATCCAGGTGGAAGTGAAGGACAGTTAATGAGCTCAAAGTTGAAGGTCATGGAGTCTAAACTGTTTATGATACATAAAGGAAAAGAAGCTAGACCTACAGGTCTGGAACTCAGAAAGAAGTACATGCTAGAGATACAGAAGTTACCAAATATATATACGCCGTGATGGAATTCATCCAAGGAAGTAAGTTAAATTACTCAAGGACTATGAATAGAATGAGAAGAGAAAGTAGCCTATGAGGAATACAAACATTTAAGAACAGGTAGAAGAGGAGGAACCTGCAAATGAAAGCAGCAGCCGGGAAAATGTGCTACATTAAAGAAAGGAAAAAACCTGTTTCAAGAAAGAGAAGAAGTGATCAACATCAAATACTGCAGATAAATCAAGAAAGAAACTGACTTAAAGTGGACAAGAAGCGAGAAACAAGTACAGTGAAGTTTTTCAAGAAGTCTGACTTAAGAAAGAGACAGAAGCATGGCAGTGAAAGGGGATCAAGGAAGAGGCAGAGGGAGGGACTTTTTTGTTTTGCTTTTAAAGATAGAAAATACTTGAACATATTTAAATACTTATGAGAAAGATCTATTACATAGGGAGAGGTTGAAAACACTGGAGTGAAGTCCCTAAGTCAGAAGAGGATGATGATTTAGAGATTTAAGCGATGGAGCACAACTACCTCTTCCTCTATTATATGAAGGAAGAAAACATACAGGCACATAATTTATCCAATAAATAATTAGCTACTAGGTAGCACAAACTGTGCTAGACCTCAGATGCAGAGAGAAATGTGATGGCTGGAAATTAAGGGGAAATTGGTTTCTACTTCTGCAGTAAAATAATGACTAAGAATTAGATACATGTAGCCCTGATTGGGTGGCTCAGTTGGTTGGAACATCATTACATACACCAAAAGGTTGCAGGTTCTATTCCCTATCAGGGCGCTGACCTAAGTTATGGGTTTGATTGCCAACGGGGCGCGCAACCAATCCATGCTTCTCTCTCACACTGATGTCTCTCTCTCTCTCTCGCTCTCCTTTCCTCTCTCTAAAAAACAAAAACATATCCTCGGGTGAGGGTTAAAATATTTAGATACAAGCAGCCCTGCTCAAAGCACATGCGGAAATCCCGCAAATGTGTGACCCCTGCGTGTCTCCCCCAAGGCATTCACCTACTTCCTTCCACGGCTGCCAGGTCACTGGGAAGACGCACTGTGGAGCCCCTGGTGGTGGAGTCAGGCTGCCAGGTGGCAGTCCAGTGCGCCCTACATATGACTTACTATGGGCTAGAGGCTCCCGTGGCCTCTCTTCCCAGCTGTGAACATGGATTTCAAAACTCAATCTTGGTGTGTTAGGATTCTCTCGAGAAACAGAACCAATAGGATGTGTATTTATAGAGAGGGCTTGTGAGGACTGGAAAGTCTGAAATCCACAGAAGCCAACAACTCAGGCAAGAGCTGATGCTGCAGTCAGAAGGCAATCTGAGGCAGAAGTCCATCCTCCTCAAGGAACCCGTGTCTTTTCTCTTCAACTGGCTGGACGAGGCCCACCCATGACACCAAGGGTGATCTGTTTTACTCAAAGTCCACTGTTTTAAATGTTAATCACATCTAAAAACGCCTTCATAGCAACATCCAGAATGATGTTTGACCAAACCGCTGAGCACCATACTCTAGTCAAGCTCACACAGAATACGAACAATTGTAATTGGTAACTTGTCAGTTATCTTCAAACTGATCCATAGGTTCGTTGTATTTCCAATTAAAATCCAAGGGATTTTTTAAAAAATTGACAGGCTGATTCCAAAATCCACATGGAACTGCAAAGTAACTAGAATAGTCAAAACAATTTTGAAAAAGAAGATCAAAGTTGAAGGATTCACACTACCTGGTTTCAAGACTTACTAGGAAAGCCATGTGATCAAGACAACGTGGTATTAGTGAAAGGATAGACACATAGATCAATGGAACAGAATGTAGTCTAGAGATTGATTCGCACACATCAGTTACTTGATTTTCAAAAAAGGTGCAAAGGCAATTCAGTGGAGAAAGGATAGTCTTTTTAACAAATGGTACTGGAACAACTGGATATCCACAGGTAAAAATATAAATTTGTTCCATGTTTTGCAACGTATTTTTTTAAATAGGAACTAATGTAAAGCCTAACCCAATAAATTCAATCAAAAAGTAAAAAATACATAAATGTAAAACCTGCAACTATTATACTTTTAGAAGAAAACAGGAAGAAATCTTGTGACCTTGGGTTAAGAAAAGAATTTTTAGGTATTACACAGGAAGTATAACTCATAAAAGAACAAAATGATACATGGGATGTGATAAAAATGAAGAACTTTTGCTCTTTGAAAGACTAAGCGAATGAAAAGGCAAGGCACAGGCTGAGAGAAAATATTTACAAAGATATAGCTGAAAAGGGGCTTGTATCCAGCATATATAAAGAATTCTCAAAACTCTATTAAAAAAAGTTTAAAAATAGGCAAAAGCAAAGATGTGGATGACAAATACAAACATGGAAACAGTAGTCAATAGGAAGATGCAAATTAAAACTACAGTGAGGTATCACTACACGCCTATAAGAATGACTAAAATTTAGAAGACTGACCATACCAAGCATTGGTAAGGATGTGGAGGAACTAGTGGTGGGAACATAAAACGGTATAATCATCTTCCAAAAAAATTAAACTCCCATGCTGTAACCCAACCATTCTACCCCTGGGTATTTACCCAAGAGAAATGAAAGCATATGTCCGTACATTTAATTGTATATGACTTTTTCGCAGCTGATTGGTAACAGCCAAAACTTGGAAACAACCTACATGTCTGTCAACAGGTAAACTGATAACAAATTGTGATACAGTAAGTCCTCACTTAACATGGTCAATAGGTTCTGTGACTTTAAGCAAAACGACATAACAAAACCAGTTTTACCACAGGCTAGCTGATATAAACAAGAGTTACATTTCTATGACATCTCTTTATAATAAGGAAACTACGTTGAATGAAAACATTATCTGAGGACCTGTTGTGTATTCACACAATGGAATACTACTCATAATCAAAAGGAATGAACTACTGATACATGCTACAACATGATTAAAACTCAAAATAATTATGCCAAGTGAAAGAAGCCAATAAAAAGGACATATACAGGCATGATTCCATTTATATAAAAATCAGGAAATGCAAAGTAACGTAGTTAAGTACTTGCACGAATACTGCATAGTATTAACTTTTACAAGTTAAATAAAAGATATAACATATGGATATCACATATCCTGAGTTGGTTAATTTTAAGTTCACAAAATGAGGGATTTTATCAGGTATTTTTAAAGCTATTGGTCTTACATTATTTGTGACAAGACAGCAAGAAAAAAAGGACAAAATACTAACATCAAAAATGAAGAGAGTCTAGAGACAGAAGAAAGATTTAAAGACAGTATAGAGAACAAAAGGCAACTGATGAGAGAGGCAACCTTACTGAGGAACCTACCGGCTCCTATTGCTAATTCTCTTACTGGAACCTACAAAATACATTTAAAGAATGTGTCATGGACGTGGATACTTACAACTTAGTTTTCTTTCTTATTGAATCTGAATACAACGTAGGCACATAAAACTTAACACCTTGCTGACCGGTCTCAAGATAATTCATGTCTGCACTTACATTAATTTAAGTAATTTTAAGGTCTGAAAGCAAAGTAGAGTCTTAAAAGAGCGGAAAAGTAGCCGGCCTCACGGGAAAGTCCTGGCTTGAGACAGCCGGTGTTTAACATGTCCAAATTGAACATATCTTGTCCATCCTCCAAAACTTCTCCTTGCATTCCCCTT